CCTAGTAGCTATGTGCAATAAAACATGTACGGTACTGTACCGCCAATCCAGTGATCATCATTGGTAACACCACAATTCAAAAAGAAATAGAGTGGTTACCGTAAGTTGAAGACTTAATTTCTATCCCCTCCTCCTGTTTGATATGCATTTCCTACATCATAATTTACCATATCCCGGAGTGTTGGACAGTATCCGATTCAAATGATCATTTGCAACCTGTTGACGTTTAAAGTTAGTTTTTAAACATCGACAGTTCAGGCTACCGATCTTGAAATATTCGATGTTTTATTGTTGTTTTTCATGTCAATACTAAATTTTTCACATTAATTGGCGCGACAAGTCGATAAAAGCTGGTTAACATGTAGCCGAACGTGTGGCATCGCTTTGCGGGCTTCATGTTAGCGATTCCCTACCTAGATTATTAATCTGAAAATAACTCATTGGATTTAGTGGGTTTTTCCTCCTTAATTCTTCAAATACTGTATATCTTTCAATAGTGATTTGGAGTGGCACTGATATTGGAGGTTTCGTACTGATCGGGTGTAATTTAGACTATCCTCCTTGAGCGTCACCTACAACCGCCCATTATACCGTCACTTTAGCATGAGGGGCGTTAACTATAGGGGGGTCATTTTTGGAAGGGCGTGTGTCCCTCCCTCCGCGCATCCGCTTAGATACGCCAATGTAAGTCAGTAAGTGGAATTGTTGTAATTCAGTCAGTAATTGATTGGTGTGAGTCACGTTCCGTTTTGTGGTTGTTAGAAACATCTTTTATATATGTGGTGGTGGCGCTGTGTTTGTTTATGTAACTGTTTTGTTAGTTTGTACTGCTTCTTAAAGTCTTCTTTTATGTCTTTTTTGTTTTGTCCTATTTTTCCTGCTGCCAGGTTTGTAAGTACAAAAAAAAAACATGTTTACACTTTGTTGTTTGTGATTCCTGTTTGTTCTCTACCTGTTGTTTGACACTGCGTCTTGAGCACCAATTTTGGTGGTGATGTTTGCGCTTCAAAAATCGTAATTATTATTATTATTATTATTATTATTATTATTATTATTATTATTATTATTATTATGTGTTGGTATCGAATTGAGTTTCAACTCATGTGCGACTTACAATGGCTACGGTCACACGAGTTTCAAGCCTGGCTTGACTCACCGCGGGTGAGATTTTCGTAATGTGACCGCATCTGCACCGACTCGCGCCTGGCGTGACCTCGATCTCAATCTACCTATCTCGATCCCGGCTCAGCACCCATAT